CTACCGAGAGCCTCAGTCCTCACATCAGACATTGTACACAAATGCATCGGACTCAGACGTCTAAAGCCAATTAAATAACTTTTATAGACACATTTTCCTCTGAAGATTGTTGAGGCCAATAAAGTAAAAGTAATAAAATCTAAATGCATTCAACATTAGAAAGTTGTTTTTGTGGAGTTAGTTGAGTGCTGCGTGACATTCTAAGCAGCTTCGAAATAAAACTTGTTTCTCGTCAAGGTCCGCTTAAAAACAGCTTCGCATTTATCCGACTTGAGTGTACGTTACATCCAGATGTTTCATAATTCTTAAGACCTTCTATGGCCAGGTCGTTTAAGTCAAAATGTTAAGGACTGTCAGAGTTAATTTACGGAAATTTGAGTCGTAGATGAATTAGGGATATCTTAAATGTCACCGCCCAAAGGGCTAGATTAATATGTTGTGTCTTTGAAAACTTGCTAATAAGAAAACTGCTTATTTCAAAAATTTCCTTGATATAATTAAATCAAAGTTGACAAAATAAAGGAGCGCTGTTCTTTTGAGGAGCGCCGATTATTCTGCACTTGTGGATAAGTTCGTTCATTTAAATAAGATGTTTAGGTCTAATTCACACACAGGTTTTTTTTTATCAACTATTTAACGTTAATATCCAGGACATAAATGGTTTTAAATATTCTATTCGATCGTTTCTTGTTTGGTTTCTATGTTTAAAAGAATTTTTTTTTTTTTTTTTTTAAACTACAGAACCGAGGTGACACTGATGACCCTTCTTGTAAACAGTCCAACTGTCTTGGTATGTTTAAAAAAAATGAAGAAAACATACAAATACTTTTTTTTTTTTTTGTTTTCTAAGTTTAAAAGAATTTTTTTTTTTTTTTTTTTAAACTACAGAACCGAGGTGACACTGATGACCCTTCTTGTAGACAGTCCAACTGTCTTGGTATGTTTAAAAAAAATGAAGAAAACATACAAATACTTTAACATTAAGTTCAACATTTGTTCCCCTTTGACTGAAGTTGTACGCGAAGAGTTGTCCACTCTGTCATTTTTGTGTGTAACAGATATAAAAGATAACAAGCACAAAGTTCAATGTAGAATCAATGAGAATTTCGTTAAACAAATTTAAAACAGTAATGACAGTTTAAAAGTAACCTTCGTCGGCCATTCTGGGACTTTGAAATCTAAAAAAATTTTGCAAAGCTGTTATCCGCTAGCGAAACTAACGAGCAAAATAAAATGTGTTTTTTGTTTTGTTTTTTTTTGTATGTCTATAATTAAAAGTTAAATATTTTATTTAAAAAAAATATATAGTTGTACATAATATTTCATATTAGTATTGACTTTCCTATTATTGTACGCAGTCATGCTTTCAGCAGAGATGGGAACTTAAATATATTAATGTGTCGTTGTTAAAATGTAAATGTTAAAAGTTATTAGCAATCCCGTTTAAAAGAAATATTGTGAGCTGAGATAAAAAAAAAAAAATTCAAAGATCAAAATTGACTGGAGAAAAAAAATAGAAAGTAGGGCGAATTTGTAGTTTAGTTAAGTCTGACATCTCAAATAGAAGACTTGTCTTTGTGTTCTTTTGTTTGGACAAGACAGAAGATGCCAGGAGATAACCATCGTAGGCAACAGCGATGAGATGATAGAGACACCTGTAGTTGACCCCTCCATGTCGGGTGTCAAACTGGACAGCATCACACTGACAGCGCAGCACTGTCAGTCCGGCAGCTGTGACGCATGGCACAGATCCAACGACACACACGTCATTGTGGATGGTGGATGCCAGGCCAAATTCCGGGTCTGCCTCCAGCGTCGTGGATGTCAACAACGGAAATGTCAAGGGAAAACCCCCGGTATGATGTTTAAGTGTCATGTGTAATGATCCATTACAAGCCTGTTTGGCGACAGGTGAACACATTACACATCGTGTGTAATGGTTCATTTCAAGCCCGTTAGGTGACAGGTGAACACATAACACATCGTGTGTAATGGTCCATTTCAAGCCTGTTTGGCGACTGGTGAAAACATAACAAATCGTCTGTAATTGTCCATTTCAAGCCTGTTAGGCGACAGGTGTACACATTATAAGACATCTTGTGTAATGGTCCATTTCAAGCCTGTTAGGAGACAGGTGAACACATAAGACATCATGTGTAATGGTCCATTTCAAGTCTGTTAGGCGACAGGTGTACACATACTACATCATGTGTAATGGTCCATTTGAAGGGCGACAGGTGTACACATAACACATAATGTGTAATGGTCCATTTCAAGCCTGTTAGGCGACAGGTGTACACATAACACATCATGTGTAATGGTCCATTTCAAGCCTGTTTGGTGACAGGTGTACACATAACACATCATGTGTAATGGTCCATTTCAAGCCTGTTTTGCGACAGGTGTACACATAACACATCATGTGTAATGGTCCATTTCAAGCCTGTTTGGCGACAGGTGTACACATAAGACATCATGTGTAATGGTCCATTTCAAGCCTGTTTGGCGACAGGTGTACACATAACACATCATGTGTAATGGTCCATTTCACGCCTGTTTGGCGACAGGTGTACACATAACACATCATGTGTAATGGTCCAGGATTAGCCACATCAGGCCCTTCCTAACAATTGATGCAACGAAGAGGCTGATGTCTGCATTTGTGCTATCACGCATGGACTATTGCAATTCTCTCATGGTGGGTCTTCCAGCTATGCTCCTTGATAAAATTCAGATAGCACAGAATAATGCGGCTCGAATTGTTCTCCGCAAAAGCAAGTTCGACCATGCAAATTCACTTCTGAGAGAGTTGCATTGGCTGCCGGTGCGTGCTCGCATAGAGTACAAAATCGCAACTTTGTGCTACCGCTGTCTACATGGCCTGGCGCCGTCCTAGCTGAAAGAGCTGCTGACGCCTTATGTACCAACTAGACAACTCCGCTCATCCGACAGTGGCAAACTCTTGACACCACGTGTTCGCCTTGAGACTTGCGGAAAGCGCACTTTCGTGTTTGCTGGTCCAACAATTTGGAACGCCCTTCCACTCGATCTCAGAAACATCCAGACACTGAAGTCCTTTAAAACCGATTTAAAGACACATTTATTTCGCAAACACTTTCTGGGATGATTGTCTACCATATTTTCCATTTAATGCATATTAGCTGTGTTGCTCACGGTTGAAATGGGTTGAAAGACTTTGACATTGTATGCTTGTAATTAGTTTTTGAAGTATTGCGTTTGTTTTAAATGTGGTAAATTATAGATTTGTATTTTGTTGACTTTGTACCGCGCTTCGAGCCTTTGGGGATGAAGCGTGTTTTTGAAATGAACTTTATTATTATTATTATTATTATTATTTCAAGCCTGTTTGGCGACAGGTGAACACATAACATATCATGTGTAATGGTCCATTTCAAGCCTGTTTGGCGACAGGTGAACACATAAGACATCATGTGTAATGGTCCATTTCAAGCCTGTTAGGCGACAGGTGTACACATAAGACATCATGTGTAATGGTCCATTTCAAGTCTGTTAGGCGACAGGTGTACACATAACACATCATGTGTAATGGTCCATTTCAAGCCTGTTTGGCGACAGGTGTACACATAACACATCATGTGTAATGGTCAATTTCAAGCCTGTTAGGCGCCAGGTGTACACATAACACATCATGTGTAATGGTCCATTTCAAGCCTGTTTGGCGACAGGTGAACACATAACACATTATGTGTAATGGTCCATTTCAAGCCTGTTTGGTGACAGGTGTACACATAAGACATCATGTGTAATGGTCCATTTCAAGCCTGTTTGGCGACATTACAAGCAAACAAACAGTTAACTGAAACATCATTATCTCAAATATATTTTTTACACTTGTGCTATAGGGAATCTTTAAATGTTGTCATTTATTTATACAAAAATATCTATGTCATTTTAAAAAAGGCTCCAGTTATTATTCAATGAACTTACGCGTGTGTTAAATGATAACTGGAGCATTTAACACACCCCCAAGTTCAATAAATAATTTGGCCACTCGTTGGCCAGGCTCACTTCAATCTGTTTGTTCTCACCAGAGAAATGCCAGAAATACAATATTGTCAGCAAAGATCAAATGGAGCTGGTACCAGTTGGTACGGAATTCGGATATGTGACTTCGATGAAACTGCTGCGCCAGAGGTCTTCGGTTCCTTGTGAGCAGGGCAAGACTTTTGGATTCTACAAGTGGATTGCCTTCGCCCGAAAAGGTTGCTCCGGGAGATTTCAGATTTGCTATGAGGTGAAGACGGAAGATTCGCAATCGGCGGAACCGTCAGGCACATGTCTTCCCTCGGTTGTTGGTAATTTAAAAAAAAAAAATCGGTTAAAACTTGTTTATGATAATCTCGGAAATATGGTGGTTTGGAGTTCCGCCGTTTGTCTTTCAGATTTATGAAGAGATTCACAAACATTGCTTTATTGAACTTACAGAGTAAGTTAGCGTTTGTAAAAAAAAAAAGCAAAAAAAAAAACAACAAAAAAACAACAAAAAAACAAACAACTACAAACCACAAGAACATCAGTTAGCATTGACTCTTATTCGAACTTTGTTTGTTTAGAGCTATTCTACCCGTGCACGCCAGTGGACGTAAAGTAATAAGTAATTTATGAGGTCGGAACAGTTTGTATCTGGTCAGAGTTGGAATGGAAATGGAATAAAACAAATTTGTTGCTACGATGCCAATGAGAGGTGTACTTGGAGTAAATGTTGATAATATCGTTCAATGAAACAATCCCTAGAAAAACATTTATAATAAATCCTTTATAAAATGAAATATCGGGCAATGGAAGGGGGGGGGGGGCTCTAAAATTGGACAAAGCATGCATACAAGTGACGCATTTTATAAGAATCCCAATTATTATTATTCTCCCCCCAAGGCCCGCAGCCGATTATTTATTTCACGCCCCTAAACAAAATATATATTCTAATGACACACCCGCTTTCACACCGCAGATTTAGTTCACCAACTCTTTCAGAAGAAAATAAAAGAAAATATTACGCATCAAACGCACTTGCGATATTAAAAAAAAAAATCATTTAGCGCAGTTATAGGCGATTGTCATTCGTGACGTCAGTGTCGCTATACTTTCTACATCGTCCCGTGAAAAGCAGGAAAAACAGATATTTTTAGATTTTGGGGTGGGGTTAAAAGTTTGCTAGTGTTCTCATTGGGAACGAGTCTATCTGCCACGTTTCAGCTCAATAACTTGACGGGAAGCTGGGAAATTAGCCGTCCGAATATTTTGCCAGTCAGCCAAGAACAAAAGAGAATTTAATATATATTATTACAAATACACGGCCAATTTAAAGCTGCTTTGAAGTATCTCTAAGAGAGACAATTTTCCATTAATTTCTGTTATAGCAGCAATTTTAGTTACACCCGCAACTCCCGAGGTACAATGCAATGATTAGTTTATTTTAAAAAAAATGACTTTGTGATGAGCTGATTTCTGACTATGTAACATATCATTCAAATTAAATATTTTTTATATCTTTATTTCTTGTTTTTAAGTTTTATGCACTTCACAGAAAATCCTGATTGGACGTGTGTTGATGTCAAATTACTGAGTAGACTCAAACGACCTGTAGACAAAACAATAACAGACGATGATGGTAAGGAGGTTACCATCCACAGTATGGACCTCGTCCACCAACATTCAGACATCAGCTGTGAACAAGGAGAGAGTTTCAGGTCATCGGGAAGTGTGGCAAGCGCCTGGGGTGGATGCAGAGGGACTTTCAAAATCTGTTACGGTTCTCAAGACGAGGAGTCGGCAACAACTGCCAAATCAGGTTAAAAAAGATATCCTTAGTCAATTTCAGCTAAACTTACGAGGAGTCGGCAGTAAATTGTACGACGCAAGAATCAGGTTTTACAACTTTCACTCCACATATAAAACTATCTTGTCATTCGGGGTAATAAAGGGGGAAACTGCAATCAGGTTAGCACACTATAACATTGGTACAACAAAGTAAAATTAAACCTGAAAAGGGAACGCAACAAAACAACGAACGTGTCGGCAAGAAGCCGACAGAAATAGAAAAAACAGAATACAATTTTAAAAATATATAGCACTTAGCCTAGAAGTAGTATCCCAGAGGGCAGCAAATGAATTGTGCCCTCGCACACGCATATACACACATACACCACACACACAAACACAATCACACACATACAATAAATAACACACACACGCACATACACACACACGCACTAAATAACACACACAATTCATTTGCTGCACTCTCGGATACTACTTCTAAGCTAAGTGCTATAATTTTTTAAAATTTTAATTTTATTCTGCTTTGTTCGCTGACGAAGGCTTCCTGCCAACACGTTCGTTGTCTTGTTGCATTCCTTTTTTCAGGTTTAACCTTACTTTGTTTTACTTATTTCATTTCTCGTCATTCGTAGCACTACTTCTGTCACTATTAATGAGTAGATAGATATCCTCTTATCAAAACTTTCCTTTGATAGGTCACTCTGACCCACTCAGTATAACAAGAATTTGCATTCCCATAACTAAAATCATCATTGTAAATAGATTCAACTGATTGGACGTGTGTTGATGTCAAATTGCTGAGTAGAATGAATCGACCTGTAAACAAAACCATAACGGACGATGATGGTAAGGAGGTCACCATCCACAGTATGACCCTTGTGCACCAACATTCAGACATCAGCTGTGAACAAGGAGAAAGTTTCAGGTCATCGGGAAGTGTGGCACGCGCCTGGGGTGGATGCAGAGGGACTTTCAAAATCTGTTACGGTTCTCAAGCCGAGGACCTGCACATGACAACAACTGTCCCATCGGGTACCAAAACACGTTTTTCAAATTCGACTTAGCTAAAAATAACCGCAATCTTTAGAAAACGTAAAACTTTAGGTTCCAGTTCGACGAATATAACTCTAGAACTCTAACTTTATTTCCACTCTTAAGCAAAACTTCTATCGCAATAATTTAGTCAGTGGATACAGCCTTTTTCATCAAGACTTTTATTTTTCTTAAAAAACATCGACTCATATTTTAAATCATTAAAAAAAGTCCCCTGTTTGGCTAACACTGCAGCTCACACGCTAGTACGGAACAGGCTTTGTGGACACACCGCTAAAGTCTGCCATGCGCAAATCGGATTATACTAGGACTTACTGTTAAACATTAATAGACGATTTCAGGGGTGTGTTCGTGCAGAAATTTACCATACCTGAAAACAATTGGTTCTCTTCCTTTCGAGATGTGTATCCCATTTTGTTGTACTATAGCTTACGAAATAAAATGTATGAGTATATCTTGCAAATTATAGCTTGCGAATTATAGCTTACTAATTATAGATTGCAAATTACAGCTTACGAATGCCTTTTTCCGGCAGTTTTATAAATACAGACGTTTAATTACATTATGATTTTATCTTAATCTTCTTCAAAATAGAATCGCCTGACTTAAAGTGTGTTGATGTCAAATTGCTGAGTAGAATCAAACGACCTGTAGACAAAACCATAACAGACGATGATGGTAAGGAGGTGACCATCCACAGTATGACCCTTGTCCACCAACATTCAGACATCAGCTGTGAACAAGGAGAGAGTTTCACCTCATCGGGAAGTGTCGCACGCGCCTGGGGTGGATGCAGGGGCACTTTCAAAATCTGTTACGGTTCTCAAGCCGAGGAACTACGCATGACAACAACTGTCAAATCGGGTACCAAAACGTTTCTTTTTTTAGTTGATTTAACTAAAAATAACCACAGTCTTAACTAGTATAACTGCAGAACTATAACTTCATTTCCAATCTTTGGCAAAACATCTCTCTTAATAAATTAGTAATTGGATACATCCTTATTCATCAAACGTTTTTTTTTCCCCTTACAGAACATCGACTCATAAACTCATGAATAAATTCCCATGTTTGGCCAACACTGCAGCTCAAACTCTAGTATGGAACGGGAGTTGTGGAAACAATGTTAAACTCTGTCATTGACAAATAATATTACAATTACTTTTAAACATTTACAACCGATTTCAGGTTTTGTTTATGCTGAAATTTAGTAGACCTGAAAACAAAATGTTGTGTATCCTATTTCGTCGAATTATAGCTTACGGATTATAATTTAAGACTCATAGCTTACAAATTACAGCCTGCGAATTATAGCTTGCAAATTATATCTTGCGAGTTATACCTTGCGAATTATAGCTTGGCGAATTATATCTTGCGAATTATATCTTCCGAGTTATATCTTGCGAATTATATATTGCGAACTATTTATAGCTTCAAATTGGAGCTTAAAAATTATAGCTTACGTATTAAAGCTTGGAAATTATGTCTAACGAATGATAACTTACGACTTAAAGCTTACAAATGCCCTTTGCCGACGGTTGAATATAGATATTTAATAATAATTAGATTTTTATTGTTATCTTCTTCAAAATAGCATCACCTGACTTAAAGTGTGTTGATGTCAAATTGCTGAGTAGAATCAAACGACCTGTAGACAAAACCATAACAGACGATGGTGGTAAGGAGGTCACCATCCACAGTATGGACCTCGTCCACCAACATTCAGACATCAGCTGTGAACAAGGAGAGAGTTTCAGGTCATCGGGCAGTGTGGCAAGCGCCTGGGGTGGATGCAGAGGGACTTTCAAAATCTGTTATGGACCCGTCAACGAGGAGCCGGCAGTGGACGTGATACCAGGTAAATGAGAGGAGTTTCTTCAAATAACTACTTGAGTTAAAAAGACTTTGTGATAAGATGACATGCAATTTTTAAGAAAAAATTTTGCACACAGTTAAATTGTTATTCAACCAAGCAATTAATAAATTCCGATAGACACAGTATAAAGAATAACATTAAATTGGTATTCCACCAACCAATTATAAATTCCTACAGACACAGTATAAAGAAAGATTAAATTGGTATTCAGCCAACCAATTAAAAATTTATAAAGACACGGTGTAAAGAAAAGCCTTTAATTAGTAACGATTCCCAGTGAAACATGACGACTCAGAGCAACCCTAACGATGTCAAAACACAATCTGTTTGCCTGCTTAATTATTGGTCTCATTAGGTTTCATGTCGTAATGTCATGACATTTAAAACTGCAATACATTTCTGGTTGAAAAAAAAGAACCCTAACACCGAAGATCTTACAATGCATGTTTTCCCTCCCTTTTAAAAAAAATGTTTTCTTTCATTTTTTTTTATATTCTCTTTCTTTTTCATGTTTTCTTTCTTTTTTTCACCTCCCATTTGTTCTTCCCCACTCCTCCTTCTTTTCGCTCTTTTCCCCCTTTCTTTCCTTCTTTTCTTTATTTTCTAAGAAAAAATATTGACATCTAAAATAATTATTATTAACCTATCTTCTTCCCAGAACCGCCTGATCTGAAATGTGTTGACGTCAATTTACTGAGTACACTAAACCGACCCGTGGAGAGAACTATAACGGACGATGATGGCGATGAGGTCACCATACACAGTATGACCCTGGTCAACCAACAATCAGACGTCTACTGCGGACGAGAGGAGAGCTACAGCTCTACTGGAAGTGTCGCGAGAGCCTGGGGTGGCTGCAGAGGGACTTTCAGAATCTGTTACTCTTCCTAAGTTGAAATACACATTAAAAGCCATATATAAACTTTTGTGTTCGCCTTTGTTGCTAGACAATCAGTGCCGGTGTCATATGTCCAACTGTCCACCGTCGGACACCCGTACATATTTCAAACTGTCTGTCGGACATGTTCATGTACTTGTACAAATCAAGGGGTGCAAAAACAAAAAAAAACAACTTCATTATTATATAATAATGTGCAACATAAATAGATAATATTTACTTTTTTCTATATATAAATGTCTTTTTTTTTTTTTGTTGATAACTTTTAATGAGTTTCCTCGAATATATGAAATAACTTGTTAAGATAATTTAAGAAAGTTTCTAGAAAATCCCAACTAAATTTTCTCCTATAACTGCCTAAGCTGTACAACTAAACGAATTAGAAAGCTTAGCTTACACAGTATCCGATTCATGCTACATGTAATGGTGGAACTTGGCTAAAGTTGGTAAACATTCCATTCAATAATCCCATAGGGTAATTTTAAAGTTATAATTTATAATGAAATTGGTATATATTTGTTTAATAATAATAAAAAAGAACAGAAAAAACACAGCATAATATCGGTGAATCTCTGGCTCAGTGGTCACGGCACCTTAGTAGGGCATCCAGGCGTATATGGATTGTGTGGGAATATAGATAGGTGGGGGCCATGGGGAGGTGTTTCGGGGCCATAGTTAGATAGGGGGTATAGTTAAATAACGTCTATAGGTGGGTAAGAGCCATAGTAAGGTATGGTCTATGGAGGTAGAACCTACCTTACTAGGTAAGTAGGGCACCATGAGTAGGTGTTTAGGATGGATAGGAGGGCACCAAAGGCCGTTACAGGCCATGTGTAGGAGGTCACCATAGGTCATTATGGGCCATGGGAAGGAGGTCACCATATGTCGTTATAGTTCATGGGTAGGAGGGCACCATAGGTCTTGATAGGCCATGGGTAGGAGAGCACCATATGTCGTTATAGGTCATGGGTAGGAGGGCACCATATGTCTTTATAGGCCATGGGTAGGAGGTCACCACATGTCGTTATAGGTCATGGGTAGGAGGGCACCATAGGTCTTTATAGGCCATGGGTAGGAGGGCACCATAGGTCGTTATAGGCCATGGGTAGGAGGGCACCATATGTCATTATAGGCCATGGGTAGGAGGGCACCATAAGTCGTTATACGCCATGGGTAGGAGGGCACCATAAGTCGTTATAGGCCATGGGTAGGAGGGCACCATATATCGATATAGGCCATGGGTAGGAGGGCACCATATATCGATATAGGCCATGGGTAGGAGGGCACCATAAGTCGTTATAGGCCATGGGTAGGAGGGGACCATATGTCGTTATAGGCCATGGGTAGGAGGGCACCATTTGTCGTTATAGGCCATTGGGAAAACTCGCCTTTTCATCAAGGGTGCATGGGTAAGTGTACAAAGTTTCAGCTCAAATGAAGATCAGGAAGTCGGTCAAAATGGGGATGCAAATTTGACCCGCAGAGGTCAATCACGGATCAGTGGAGTAAACATTTTGTAAGCTGTTAATGTTTCTGTAAGATGGTTTGATATGTAAGGAGTAATAAGCGTGTACAAATTGTAAGACATGTAAATATATATGGTTCTTGTTACGACTTTACTTTACTAACTTGAGACATTCATCAAATGGCTCGGCCTTCTTTCGTTGTCTAGGGTGTATGACTCTCTCTCTCTCTCACACATAAAACACAAGGTCCAGTGTAACAATATAATAATTTATTGTATACTTTACAAAACAGGATACAGCTATTCAATGACAATATACTATGGCGCGTGGAACACACACCAGTCCAACTACCAACTATCCACTCGCCTAGCACTACTCTCTCAACTAACGTGTCACTCGCTCCTATCGCTACTCGACTAACTCTTGACTGACAACATTTGACGACTAACAATTCTTCTCTTGCTCTTCAACCTTTCTTCTCTGACGTTTAGATAACACACATCCCTTTTATATTACCGCACAAACAACTCAGCGTACGCTAACGTTCCACACCACGGACTAACTTCACGCTCTGACCTCACGATCAACAACTCACAAAACACTATCACGATTCACGACTCCCCTTACCCAACATTCACAATAATCTAGTTCACAACAGTTCTGATGCTGTGAGATTATGCTAAGATTGGTCATGATATTGAAAAAAAAAAGGCCATGTACTTTGTATGATACTATCCAATCAAACCGACCTTTGAAACTCTTCAAGTAGGTCAAACACCCATTAATGTTTTCGTAACTGCCGATTCCGTGATTATTTCTTTCATTTTTTTTTTGCACTTGTATGAGACTACCTTCAAGGTCACGATTACCCGACGAACAGGGCCGGAACTCACGCCGTTGAGCACGAGATATGTGCTCCCTACTTCCCCCCCCCCCCCCGCCTACCCCGTGATCGAATTTGTCCAGTTCACGCGTCCCACCAAAAATATTGACTACGCCTAACTTAGTGGCCTTTGATAAATCGTTACTTAATTACTGCAAGCTTTCGGCCATCTCGCAGGAGCAGAAGTTTCCAACGTAATTTACAACTTTGTCGAGCTCAATTTGGTGACACCAACAGGTCACGTGGGCGGCGTCCAGTGATTCATCAAAAGATGCAGTCGTGTACGTCACCGGCCTAAGAATTCATTTCGTAGCAATCCATTTTGGAAAATAATCCTTTCGCAACTCGTACAAATGTGGCATTTCCGATCCTTACCTTCGGGATGCCTTGGTGAATTTATGTTTCAATTTTTTCATTGTTGATCTAGCATTGATGAATGTTACCTTTCCAGTTCTTATCAACAACAACAAAAAAATTAACATTGAACTATTCTTCATTTCAAAATTCTTCTCTTCATACAATATTTCAGAAACCGGACGTCACCAGCTATTTATTGTTTATTCTTCCATTATCCCTTTCCAGCGTTTAGAGGTTAAATAATTTTTTTTTATGGAACACACAAATAGTGTCGCTGAAAAAAAACACCAACCACGCCAAAGCAAACAATGAAATGTGAAGACGTATGACGTGGAGAAAGTAATTTTAGTAGAACTTCTGGAATGAAAAAGATTTGTTCTTTTCTGCTCACAGCTTCCAATTTAAAAAACAACAACTTACAAACAGAAATGAAAATATTTAATTTAATTTCATGTCCATCCTACTCCATTTGGCACCCTCGGGTGGAGTTCGTCAGGGTGTCTTTGTGAAAATAAGAACAGTAGAATATTTTGATTTACATTACAGAAATGTCTCGAACCTTAGTGATTCATCGTCCTGGGTTTGCACCCGGCCTCGCCACCACTATCCTTGATTTGCGCCACACCTCACCACCCTCATCCTCGTTTGGCGCCCCACCTCACCACCACCATCCTTTGGTTGGCGCCACTCCTCACCACCACCATCCTGTGTTGGCGCCCCACCTCACCACCCTTATCCTTGGGTGGGCGCCCCACTTCACACCACCATCTTCCATCACTGCTTAGGTTGAAAGAAGTTTACCTACCTAAATATTAAAACAAAATGCAGGTTTGCCTCAGACGAGAGGAAACTGGCAAGCTAATCGTACGAGGTTTTTAAAATCCTTTCTATTAACGTGGCTTTTGTTCGTGTTGGGCTGGCTGGCTGGGTGGCGACCTGCCAAAATCTTCGGATGGTTAATTGGGATTCTTATAAAGCGTGATACGTGCTTGCATGTTTTGTCAAATTTTAAGACTCATCTCCCCACCCCCCCCCCCCCCCAACAACAACAAACCAACTGCTCGATTATTACACTTTATAAATGATTTATAAGAAAAAACTTTGTATTTAGGGGTTGTTTCATTTCAGCTTCATTAAATTTATCTGTAGACTGAAAACTAACAGTATAGAGGATTGGGACAGTAATGAATACATTTTTTGTTTGCCAACACCTATGGAGGGTGGTAACCTGTTGACTCTGTCGATCTAATTGTCAATTTTGTGTGCGGTCAGCTGTATTTTACATCGTGTATTATGGTTGGGAGTATGTAAGCCGGGCAGCAGACCTCACCCCCTCAGTCGAGTCACGTCTCAGCAAACGAGATGTCTGCTCACAGACTGTTCCTGCTGTTGGCTCTTGTGGTAAGTGATGTTGTCGCGAAGCAACGACGTCCTGAACTTTGTGAACACGTTACAAATATTGAAAAAGTGCGTGGTGTGCGACTATGCCACGCCACAAACATGCGTTTCATTGTTTAAGAAATTACAAGCCATGCTCATTCCTGGCGTTTCATTGTTTAAGAAATTACAAGCCATGCTCATTCCTGGCGTTTCATTGTTTAAGAAATTACAAGCCATGCTCATTCCTGGCGTTTCATTGTTTAAGAAATTACAAGCCATGCTCATTCCTGGCGTTTCATTGTTTAAGAAATTACAAGCCATGCTCATTCCTGGCGTTTCATTGTTTAAGAAATTACAAGCCATGCTCATTCCTGGCGTTTCATTGTTTAAGAAATTACAAGCCATGCTCATTCCTGGCGTTTCATTGTTTAAGAAATTACAAGCCATGCTCATTCCTGGCGTTTCATTGTTTAAGAAATTACAAGCCATGCTCATTCCTGGCGTGATATCATATTTTTGTGTAAACCATTAACCAGTCCAACGCCGACAGAGCACACGCTGTAGTTATATGGTCAGGATCATTAAAGGTTTTGATAACTACCATTGATAAGGTTACCGGAAATTTGATCGAAAGAAATCTCGTCGACGGTAAATTGATCGACAGAAATTTGATCGAACGGAAATTTCGTCGAATCTTTTTTTTTTCTTTTTTTTTGGTTCAGTTCACACGTTAAAATTTTTGCCAAATTTCTTTTTGAACGCACTATACTAAATAGTAAAACAAAATAATTCGTTCAAAAAGAAATTTTAAGCAAAATTTTAACGCGTGAACTGGAAAAAAGTTTCGACCAAAATAAATGTAGTACCGTCGATCAAATTACCGTCGGCGAAATTTCTTTCGATCAAATTTCCAGATACGCATTGAAACAACGTGTTTTTTTTTTTGGTGTATTCTTTAGATCGCGGTGTCGGCCAGTAGCACAAAGAGGTCGCCGGCGCACAAGCCTGTCAGGGGTGAGTATGATGACACGTGTCACTGTCAATAATGTCACCTTTCACGTCAGAGCTGTGTCTTCTTGCCATTCAGGGACATGAGGAAATGTTTGATTTGAATAATTATTTAAAAAAAACAAATTTCTTTCCTATTTGTATTTAAACATCCTCTGAACATAATAATAAAGTAAATCGTTATTTTAGTTTTACACGTGTTGCTAAATTTGACGGGATGTTAATAAATCTATCATTCCTGATCAAGAAATCAGATCAATTAAAATGGGAGGAGGGAGAATGGGGGGGGGAGAGGAGAGCCACGTGTAATGGACATACGTTTGGACCCACCCCCCCCCCAGGGGACACGCTTTTAGAATAAAATTTTGAAGCAAAAAAAAAAAAAAAAGTAATAATAATATTCAAATATCCGGATGACTTTTTTTTATAACGATAAATCATTGCATAGCTTCCTCAGAAGTGTTGACTCGTATCTGTTTGTTTATGAACAAGTTCGAAGTAAGGAAGACGAAATAAATAAAGTTCAGTCATATTTTTTTCGTTTCGCTTAAATAAAAAATATATATATTAAACCATGTCACACTTTCATTTTTTACGGAAATCCTGAAGTTTTGACAGCCTTTTACGGACATCCTGAAGTTTTGACAGCCTTTTACGGACATCCTGAAGTTTTGACAGCCTTTTACGGACATCCTGAAGGTTTGACAGCCTTTTACGGACATCCTGAAGTTTTGACAGCCTTTTACGGACATCCTGAAGTTTTGACAGCCTTTTACGGACATCCTGAAGTTTTGACAGCCTTTTACGGACATCCTGAAGTTTTGACAGCCTTTTACCGACATCCTGAAGGTTTGACAGCCTTTTACGGACATCCTGAAGTTTTGACAGCCTTTTACCAACATCCTGAAGGTTTGACAGCCTTTTACGGACATCCTGAAGTTTTGACAGCCTTTTACGGACATCCTGAAGGTTTGACAGCCTTTTACGGACATCCTGAAGTTTTGACAGCCTTTTACCGACATCCTGAAGGTTTGACAGCCTTTTACGGACATCCTGAAGGTTTGACAGCCTTTTACGGACATCCTGAAGGTTTGACAGCCTTTTACGGACATCCTGAAGGTTTGACAGCCTTTTACGGACATCCTGAAGTGTTGACAGCCTTTTACGGACATCCTGAAGGTTTGACAGCCTTTTACGGACATCCTGAAGTTTTGACAGCCTTTTACCGACATCCTGAAGGTTTGACAGCCTTTTACGGACATCCTGAAGTTTTGACAGCCTTTTACCAACATCCTGAAGGTTTGACAGCCTTTTACGGACATCCTGAAGTTTTGACAGCCTTTTACCAACATCCTGAAGGTTTGACAGCCTTTTACGGACATCCTGAAGGTTTGACAGCCTTTTACGGACATCCTGAAGTTTTGACAGCCTTTTACCGACATCCTGAAGGTTTGACAGCCTTTTACGGACATCCTGAAGTTTTAACAGCCTTTTACCAACATCCTGAAGGTTTGACAGCCTTTTACGGACAAGTCATTTTTTGAAATCAAAACGTTACGTTTGCTTGTAATTAGCAGACGGTTGGCATCCGCCCTCCCCCAAATCAGCCCACCTTTCACTAAATGTACAAATATTGTACTAGATCACCATCATATTAAGTCACGTCACCTTCTTCCTTTTAAACTTGCTGCCACCCAACTTTTATAGAGCCAGTGGACGAACTGAAATGCGTTAAGGTCACCTTGAAAAGCGATGAGCACAAGACCGTCTACGATGACGACAAGAAGCCCGTGAAGATCAAGACGGTCACGGTGGTGCACCAGACCTCCTCCGTGAAGTGCCGCGAGCACGTCAACTACTTCTTCCACGGCTCCGAGCTCTCCACCAAGCATGGCTGCTGCGCCACCTTCAAGGTCTGCTACAAAGTAACCGTCTGCAGGACCAAATGTGATCCGCCACCTAAGTCTCCCAAGTGCAAGAGCAAGAGCAAGGACTGCAAGAAGATCAGGCGCCCGAAGACCAAGAAGTGCTCGAAGTGCAGCAAGCGTATCAGATATACCCGGGTGTCGAAGTCCCCCAAGAAGTCGAGGTCGCCCAAGAAGTCAAGGTCGCCCAAGAGGTCAAAGAAGTCTAAAAAGTCAAAGAAGTCTAAAAAATCAAAGAAGTCATATTCGTACGATAGAAAGAGCAAGGACTCTAAGACGAAGCCTCGTTCTCGATATTCAAAGGTCAAAATTGAACACGGTAAGTCCCCTTATCTCGTCTTTATCTCAGGGGTCTTATGTTTAACACGAAAAGAACGCGCGAATGTCAAAAACGCCTACATCAAGCAAATCCTCAGCATTCCTGTATTTCTTCTCTTATTTCTTATAGTTTCCATATTTCCAATATGTGTTTGATCGTTAAAATCTTATTTATCAGGGTAATGATACATAAATTCTTTAACTTCCTTTTATCTTGGTTTTGAAAAACCCAACTTCGGGCAATACAGGAATATTGCGAACACTTATATATTTTTTAAAAAATACTTCCCATTTCTTGTTATTTCTTTATTTGTCCTATCTGCCGAGGAAGGCTCTGAGCCGAAAAGTTCTTCTTTATTGCCTTACCTTTCTGTTTGAAACTTAGATATAGCTTGTTCTTCGATTTACTTCAAATATAGAGGGAAAACCTATTGGAAGTGAGCATTGAACATAGTTCTAAGCTTTTTTGAAAACACAAATTCGCAGACTGGTAAGTTAGGACAATATGAGTCAATCTAGTACGAAAAATAACCACTTAACATAGATGAAAGGGGACAGTTTAATTTGTTACTTGCCTAAAGAATTCATTCTGTAGCTATCATTTAGAAACGAATGTTTCAGAAATAGTACGAATGTATTATTTCCAATCATTACCTCCGGGTAACCTCTTTCCAATTTTACTCTTGCTATAAATTGACGAATGCAGTGGCGTGGCTACGGTTAGTGCCATCCGAGATTTTTGCCACCCCCACCCTTCTTTCCATTAAAAAAAGTTTACAGTTCGTCAAACATGTCTCCGCCCCTCCATATTAGAAAAAAAAAGCCGCCGGGGTGGACCACCCCATCCACCCAAGTTATACGCCACTGGATGAATTTATAGTTCCAATCCTAATCATGACATAACATTGATCAATGTTATATTTCCAATCCTAATCATGACATAACATTGATCAATGTTATATTTCCAATCCTAATCATGACATAACATTGATCAATGTTATAGTTCCAATCCTAATCATGACATAACATTGATCAATGTTATAGTTCCAATCCTAATCATGACATAACATTGATCAATGTTATAGTTCCAATCCTAATCATGACATGACATTAATGAATGTTATAGTTCCAATCATAATCATGACATAACATTAATGAATGTTATAGTTCCAATCCTAATCACGACATAACATTAATGAATGTTATAGTCCCAATCCTAATCATGACATAACATTGATCAATGTTTAGTTTCAGAATTCGTTGTAACGCCGATTAAAAAAAGAGTTTATATTCTAATCTTGATGAACAAAAAAAAAAAAAAAAACAACAGCCCCACTGTTGCCTTTTGCTACACATCAGCTACTGGCATCCACCATTCAACGGGATGCTAAATGATTAGTCCCTGTGATCCCTCTAGCCCATAAAGTCGGTAGTATCAAAATAGTCCCTATAGTCGCTATAGTTCCAGTAGGTGCAGGTACACTTCTTATCTTCATAGCCCATGGGTGCATTTTGGGACGCTGCCTCTACTATCTCCCATCAGACAGGTGGCTAATTTGATGAGCCCCTATACAGCTTTTACACCCTATTTTCCCTACAATCCCTATAGCTCATCAAGTCCACAAAGTCAAAATAGTCTAACTAGTCCTTATAGACACTACACGTCCCGTGGGTGCATGTACACTGCTAATCTTCATATCACATTGGTGAATTTTGTGACACTGCCTCCACTCCCCCCTCCCCCTCCTCAATTGACAGGATGTAAAGAGATCAACCTTCTGAGCAGAGTCAACCGTCCCAGCTACAAGATCATCACCGGCGGCTACATCAAATCGATCAAGCTGATCGAGGAGCACGACGACTCCCTGGGCTGCACCTATGATCGCACCTACGGCTGCAAGGACGGCCACGAGGCCTACGCCAAGAAAGGGTGCCGTGGCCGCTTTAAAGTCTGCGTCTCTTAGCCCATTGGTTGGAACACTCTTACTTCTGATGAGAAGATCGTAGGAGTGGCGTCGTTGTTATCATTCTTGCACATGCTTGAATCCTACTTACATTTAAATTGGATAAAATTAAAAAGAATTGGATTCAACCTGTCGATGTCACTATCCATGTTATTGTTGATCTTCCTAGTATGGTGAATAAATGGTAAGGACTAAGCATAAGACAACTTGCATTAACCCATTCTTGCATACATGCATATTCTATATGCTTTGTGGTTTTTGCGCGTGAGGTAAGGCAAAAATCCAAATCCACCCGGGACGTCAATAGATACACAATATAATTCACCCCAGTTACATCTAAGATAATATTTAATATTTTATTATTGAACATGTAATCTTTAAATTATCGACAAAAATAGAAGTATTTTTTTTTTAAACACCGAATGCTTACAAAATCCCAGTTTCAAGTAAAATGTAGATCTGAGCTCACCCATCCACCCGTTCACCCATCCACCCGTTCACCCATCCTCGTAGCAGCCACCGTCGACCACGACACTTTGAGCGACATTCTTAGTCACGGCGTCAGCCCAGGAGTAGACGCGATGTTGACACCTCTCAGTTGCAAGGAGACGTTCGGCACCTTTCAGGTGATAACCGTGAGAAAATGATCAACGGAGCGAAACGCGTGTGTAAACAAACAAACAACTTAAACAACCTCCACACACAAGATTCAAAACAATCAGAAAGAAGAAGAAAGTCTTTCATCATAATTTCGAGCCTCAAAATGTCCAAGTTAGGCAAAGAGAAATCTACAGTTAACATACAAAAATAAATACTTAAAAATAAAAAAATAAAAATCGTTTCAATAATTAATTTCAAGGTACCACTCTCAAACAGCGTCAAGTGACAATCTCAAATAGTGTCAAGTACCATTCTCAGAAGAGTGTCAAGTACAATCTCAAAACAGTGTCAAGTACAATCTCAAAGAGTGTCAAGTACCAATCTCAAAACAGTGTCAAGTACAATCTCAAATAGTGTCAAGTACCAATCTCAAAAGAGTGTCAAGTATACATCTCAAACAGTGTCAAGTACCAATCTCAAATAGTGTCAAGTACCAATCTAAAAACTGTGTCAAGTACCAATCTCATTAAGTTTCAACTTAAAAAAAAATTCTTAAAAATAATATAGCTAGCTTTTCAAAAGGACATGCGAAGGGTAGTAAATAATAATGAAATTAACCAGAAGAACATACGTTGCATAATAATACTAAATGCACTTTAGATAAAAGGGTTATACTAACAATATAACGTCCAGGCGTTGCTGGCAAACGCCAACTTAGAATAAAAAACACGCTGGGTGTGCTAAAGGGCTAGTAGATTTACGTGAAGCTATCGGAGGATACCTGTGTCATGTCAAGCCAAGCCGTGTCTTTGGGGAGCCTGACAGTGGGAAGTTTTGGTAAGATTGATCATCCTTAGAGATGTTAATCCAAATAAAAGTTAAAAACTCCAAAAGATTTCTATGTGTTTTTTCACATTTAGTCTCAGCTTTTATATTTATACAGGGGAATTTGTATTTTAGATACAGTAAATGGAAGAGGTTGGCACCCCTCCCACACAGAGAACTGTGAAAACACTCATTGATTGCTTAATATTTAAAATATCCTCTACAATGTGGACATCTGCAAATATACAAAGATATAAATAATGAAATTCCCCTTCCGCCAAGAGTTTATAGCTTAATTCACTAAGGTTCCCGATAAATAAATGATTGGACTGATACTAATTCATTACCACTACATTATTTATATTCATCTCCCGAATCTCCTGAAAATTGACACTATGAATTTTCTTTGTTAAACATATTAATATTTTTCATGTAGATATCCTGAATATTTAATAATAATAATAATAAAGTTTATTCGAAAAGCAAGCTTCATCCCCAAGGCTCGAAGCGCGATACAAAGTCAACCATATTAAAAGAGAAATGAAACAATCCATATTTTACCATATTGACTTACAAAACGCAACATTACAAAAACTACATATGAGCATACCCATTTAAAGTCTTTCATCCCTTGCAACAATAAACAACACAAGTCAATATACATCAAGGAGATAATAGCTAGCTGGAAAATATGGTAGACAACATCACCCCAGCATATGTTTGCGAAATAGATGTGTTATCAAATTGGTTTTGAAGGATTCCAGTGTCTTGTTGTTTCTTAGAGCGACAGGAAGTGTGTTCCAAAATGTTGGGCCAGCAAATGCGAAAGTGCGCCTTCCGTAAGTCTCAAGGCGAACAAGCGGTATCTAGAGTTTGCCACTATCGGATGAGCGGAGTTGTCTAGTGGGTACGTAAGGGTGTCATGAGCGCTTTGAGATAGGACGGCGCCAGGTCATGCACAGAGGTAGCACAGAGTTACAATTTTGTACTCTATGCGACCGCGGACCGGCAGCCAGTGCAGCTCTCTCAGAAGTGTTTTAACATGGTCGAATTTGCGTTAGCGAAGAACAATGCGAGCCGCATTATTCTGTGCTTTTTGAATTTTATCCAGGATCGTAGCTGGAAGACCCACCATGAGAGCATTGCAGTGGTCCATGCATGATAGCAAGAATGCAGACATCAGCCTCTTTGATGCATCAAACGTTAAGAAAGGTCTAATATGACTAATTCTGCGCAGCTCTAGAAAAATCGCCTTTAAAGGCATGTTAATGGGATTTACCGCGTACTTAATAAAATAAAATTAAGCAAAGCTAAGACCGAGATTATTTCAGTAGGCCGTAGCCAAATAAATTGATTTACAAATGAGTGTCTCAGCTGCTTCGTCAAAACTAGACGCTCAAATAACTTTGAGGCATGTTTGTTAAAGGCGGAAAATGGCTACAGAGATAGAGACAAGAGTGCAGCCGGAAAAATTCAGCCAGCCACCAAATCACCCCAATTCTAAGACACCCACAAGTAGAGATGCAGACCGTGGCCAGAGCTATTAACACGGCTTTATTCGAACATTTACTTATCGGTGCTTATCAAGGCTCTGAATAAAAGTTTTGTATGGGAATATCCTACGAGATGTTTAAGGGTAGCAGCTGGTAAACCAAAAAGGACCACATTCGGAACAGGGAAAATAAGATAAATGGTATGTGCCTTCCCAAATCAATTGGTTTGTCCAACTGGTTAGAATGCCTCTTAACCAACCTGCATTGGACGTTTACAATAGAAGTCCCTCTGATATTAGGGTCAGAGGAAGACCACACCGTTGGTGGATTGACTGTATTTTAAGGACATACTAAAAGTCCACAATATGAAGTTCCATTATGGCTCACACTTTTAGGCGATCCGTCAACAAAACCACTCGCGACGCCTATTCGGTAAAAGCGGAAAGAGAAGGAATTATTGTTGTTTTCTTTTTGATATTTTGTTTATTATTCCAGGTGTGGATGGTGACCAAATGAAACATTTGTAATGTATACATTGTAATTATATCGACCAAATGTGGGACCGGATTTTAAGAGGAATACGATTGATCTGTCTAGGCTGGTTTAAGATCATAGAAAATAAGTGGGATTTGTTTGGGCTGTTTTAAAATTTTATCTGAGACAGAAACTTCATTTTGGGGTGAAATTTATCTTTAATTGAAACTTCATTTTGGGGTGAAATGTATCTGTAAAAGAAACTTCATTTTGTGGTGCAATTTTATCTAAGACAGAAACTTCTTTTTAGGGGGTGAAATATAATCTGAGACGGAAATTTCATTTTGGGGTGAAATTTTATTCTGAGACGAAAACTGAATTCTGTGTTGAAATTGTATCTAAGGCAGAACCTTCAATTTTGGGTGAAATTTTATCTTTAATAGAAACTTTATTTTGGATTGAACATTTATCATTAATAGAAACTTCGTTTTAAAGTGAAATATTATCTTAGACATAAAATTCAATTTGGGGTGAAATTTAATCTGAGACAGAATCTTCATTTTGGGCGGAAATTTTATCTGAGACAGATACTCCATTTTAGGGTTAAGTTGTATCTGTAATATAAACTTCATTTCGGGGAGAAATTTAATCTGAGACAGAAAGTTCATTTTGGAATGAAATTTTATCTGAAATATAAACTTCATTTTGGGGTGAATTTGATCTGAAACAGAAACTTCATTTTGGGGTGATATTTTATCGGAGACGGTAACTTCATTCTGTGTTGAAATTGTATATAAAAAAATAAAACTTCATTTTGGGGTGAACATTTTATCTTAGACAAAAACTTCATTCGGGGTGAAACTGTTGATTTTTCTTTAGAAGGGGAGGAGGGCTGTTAGTATAGTATTTAATTTTGACAATTAAATATTTAAAAAAAAATGATTGCACTACATTATGTTTGACTTATTGTACGTTTTATATACTACAACGTTGAATCATACGGGCTACGTAGATCGCGAAATTGAAATGCTATCTTTCTTTACGTCATCATGAAGACTTCCTTTTAAAAAATTCAACGACTGGGAGAAGTGGGAGTTCTAGGAAGGCATCAAACCATTTTTTAAGGTCAGAAGGAGCTTGGGGCCAGAAGGGTGGACAACATTGGGTTAAAGACTGTGGCTAATTTTCTATCGCTATTTGAGGTGGTTGTGTGGTTTACCTGAAGAGTATTGGTTTGAGGAGAAGACTTGGGTTCATGTGATTGCCCAGTGGACAATGGGTGTGGGAGCAGGCAAGGTTAGGGAGAAGACTTAGGGATGATTGGAGAGAGCTGTTTTGAGGTTGGGAGTGGTGGATTTTGTGGATGGATGGATTAGTTGGTAGTCAGAGGTGGTTAGAAGCAGAACTGAATGAAATACTACTTGGGGAAAGATAATAAATATTGTACAGCATGTTACATGGTAAGAAATAAATTTAAAAAACGACAACAAATGTAAACTGGTTACAGTCAAAGGTCGATTGTAGCAAACAAGTGTTCTATAATGGCACATTCTCACAGTAAACAACCGATTGCATCAAAAAAGTGTAATCTAATTGTAACATCTTACAGTAAACAGTAGATTGTAGCGAACACGCGTGCCATACTGTTACATATTGTAACATTAATTTATTGAAGGACCCCCACCTCCCATTTTACCCCAGTGAAGAACGGTACAGTTGCTAGTCCTTGATAAATTACTTAACACGTTCATTTTCTAACAGCACAATAACAACATGAAAGTAATTTATTTGACAACACAAGCTGCTAACACAGTGGTTCTCAACCTGTGGGTCGCGACCCCTTTGTGGGTCGCACGACCCTTTCCCATGGGTCGCCTGAGACCATCTGAAAACTCATATGCTCTACAGCTATGGAGTAGCAGCTAAAATAATTATGTGGCTGGGGGTCGCCACAATATGAGGAACTGTGTTAAAGGGTCGCGGCATTAGGAAGTTGAGAACCACTGTGCTAACAGATTCTTGGAAGTGGGCGGCGTCCTAAGACGCTAGGGGGCGGCTCTGTCTTTAGTCTTCGTTGTGGATTTTAAAAAGTTATTTGTTGAACATAAGAGAAGAATGGGGGTCCTACCCGTCTACATCTGTGTGTCGTATCAGAACCGTGTTAATTAATGGTGAAAAAACAACATAGCAACACATTTTTGGTACAATAATGAGTGATGGCACCTATGCATAGTAATGGTTTTTTTTCAAGTAAAGTCGATGGTATTGACGATTTAAGTGGCTTAATGTAATTGCGGGGAGGGGGGGGGGGGGGGGGGGAAGGGGTACATTTTTGGTACAATAATGAGTGATGGCACCTATGCATAGTAATGGTTTTTTTTCAAGTAAAGTCGATGGTATTGACGATTTAAGTGGCTTAATGTAATTGCGGGGAGGGGGGGGGGGGGTGGGGGAAGGGGATGCTTTCAAGCCGTGTGCATTAGATGAATAGTGGGGAAAAAACGTTTATTGACTGGCTTTGCTGTTTTCAGAGACATGTGTTTTGAGTTTTGAGAGAGATGCGGAGTTTAAAGATATATTTTGTTATTTTGGTCAGTATTCTGGTGATCAATATATTATTTGTGAGTCTTTTAAGGAACCTTCAACTATTTGTGGGTTCTGACTATATTAGTACTTCGATATGTTTGGGCCTCATACTTTTGTGTGTGCCTTGATGGTCGTTTACATAGACTAATACTGTCATCGTAATAAGTTTAAAGCAGAACTGACTTGATTTATTTTAAGATGTAACTATTACGAAATAGCACGATTTGTTGTAACAAATAATGTTCTCTATTTTCATTTTCATATATTTGGTTTTGGTTCGACACGTTTAGGTAGTGGTGTCGGTGGCGGACATTTCTAGAGCCACTCCTCAAGGTGGGTCGTGACAATAGTTATCAATGAAATGTCATTTGTTGAAATGTTATCATTTCACATAGTTCTCTATTTTACCCGTTACAAAAAAAAAATAAATCAATAACAGGTGTTAACATATCGTTATTAATGAACGTGTTTGACTTAGGCTGTACTCGGTATTTTTCATAAATGTCGGCAATTTTTGCTGTTGCTTGATGCCATAACGGTCATTAACAACGTGAATTATCACTGGCTGCAACTACCACTACAAAAAGCAGAGTAAACTAACAACCATGACACAAAAATATACGTTTGGAGGAACTGTCATTGTTTCTCCACGTTTTCAGAATGTATTTACTCAGAACACTCGGATTCTGATCAAATTGGCTCTCATTTATGCTTTATCGAAGATATTAACTTTTGAATAATGATTGGACATAATTCCCTAAACATCTTATCTTCTTTATCTTCTTTACTAAATGTTCATTCAATTGTAAGCATTGCCTTGTCTTTTCTTTAAAAATAATGGCTACTGCATATAGAAGTCATGTTATCACTATATTTATGTTTATAATGCAAATTTATCCTCTTTATTTTTTATTCCATTGCATTGTAGACTTGGAGTGCAAGATAAGTATGTCAAAAAACCCCGAAAGTGATGTCTGTGGCAAGTTGCAGTGTTACATAAAAAAACTGCCCGAAGGTGTGAGATCGATCCTCGCCATCAAAATATATGACGTCACAGACGACGGAAGCATCCTATTGGCCACGGTAACCGGCATCTCCGTTAGAGCAGGAGAATCGGTGATGTCTCCGCTAACGAAGCTAGAGCTTGCTTTAACACAGAGATCCCATTGCGACCGAGGGTCGTTCAAGTTTCAACTGAATTATGTGAACGGTGAGGGTGATTTAGATGTGGAAGTGATTCTCGTCAATGCAGACTCGCCTCCTGATGATCCCATGAAAGGCTGGACTTTGGCTTTCCGTGGGACGGCTAATACCAACAAGTCAGTTTACTATGCGTACACAACCAAACAAGCCAGTGACCTGTCCGTTGAGCCAGGCTGTAAACAAGTGAGAATTCAAAGACTCCAAATAAAATAAAGCTGTTTAATTAACCTAAATGCATAGACGAGCCCCTCCAATAAAGTTAATCAGATTCAGTAAAAGATTCACAGTGTAGGCAACCAAACACAGTGTAGGCAACCAAACACAGTGTATGCAACCCAACTAAGTGTATGCAACCCAACACAGTGTATGCAACCCAACACAGTGTATGCAACCCAACACAGTGTATGCAACCCAACACAGTGTATGCAACCCAACACAGTGCATGCAACCCAACACAGTGTATGCAACCCAACACAGTGTATGCAACACAACACAGTGTATGCAACCCAACACAGTGTATGCAACCCAACACAGTGCATGCAACCCAACACAGTGTATGCAACCCAACACAGTGTATGCAACACAACGCAGTGTATGCAACCCAACACAGTGTATGCAACCCAACACAGTGTATGCAACCCAACATAGTGCATGCAACCCAACACAATGTATGCAACCCAACACAGTGTATGCAACCAAACACAGTGCATGCAACCAAACACAGTGCATGCAACCAAACACAGTGCATGCAACCAAACACAGTGCAGGCAACCAAACACAGTGCAGGCAACCAAACACAGTGCAGGCAACCAAACACAGTGCAGTCAACCAAGCACACTGCATGCAACCAAACACAGTGCATGCAACCAAACACAGTGCATGCAACCAAACACAGTGCATGCAACCAAACACAGTGCATGCAACCAAACACAGTGCATGCAACCAAACACAGTGCATGAAACCAAACACAGTGCATGCAACCAAACACAGTGTAGGCAACCAAACACAGTATAGGCAACCAAACACAGTGTATGCAGCCAAACACAGTGTATGCAACCCAACACCACTCTTTGTTGTGGTTTTATTTTTTTGCGTATTGTAATTTCTAAAAAACTATTCTCTATTCCCCAGGTCACGTCAGCCCTACCTTGTACCAACCATTACAGAAATGACCAAGTTCTTGATAACTGGGCTAACATCAACGAAGTGGCTTTTATTGTTTACAAGAACAACATCGAGGTCAGACGTGTCGTGTTTGACGGAAAAGGCACGACCAACTTGAACTGGTTCAGCAGAGACAGGATCAAAACTTCCAGTTGGACGGATTTAAAAACGGAATCTGCAAACTACTTCAGCATCGATGGGTACCTTAACAATTTTGAAAAGACCTATTGCAATCGGCGATTTTTTATAAATCATGTTTTTGATTCGTGTCCGGGAGACTCGGGTTGGTTCGTAGCTATAGATGATAAAACACTTGTCTGCTGCCCGTGGGAGGCCTACCCCGCATTTCCGGTGTTTAAATACTCCAGAGGTGACCGATATACCAATTGGAGCAATGGAGATTTTGATGTAGCGGACGTCATTGCTGTTTTCGTACGTTAGGAATAAAAAGGCTTTAAAAACATTACAGTTTTAGCTATTTTTTAAATAATTGTTTTGTTGACTCTGCTATTAGTGAATCTGTTTAACGGTCTCTTTCTTCCGTCTCAAACGTCGTCCTTCATCGCTTCAACTGTCTTTATTCATCCCTCTTAACTGTCTTTCTTCATCCCTTTCAAACGTCTTTATTCATCCCTCTTAACTGTCTTTCTTCATCCCTGTCAAACGTCTTTATTCATCCCTCTTAACTGTCTTTCTTCATCCCTGTCAAACGTCTTTATTTATCCCTCTCATCTGTCTTACGTCAACTCGCTCAACTGTATTTCTTCCTCGATCTCAACTGTATTTCTTCCTCCATCTCAACTGTATTTCTTCCTCCATCTCAACTGTATTTCTTCCTCCATCTCAACTGTATTTCTTCCTCCATCTCAACTGTATTTCTTCCTTAATTGAATGTCTGAAAATTCTCTTTAAGAGTTTATGCACTGAACAGTAATCAAACAATTCAAAACAATCTCCACAGATAACTGATTAAGTGGACCTTAACAGAAAAAAAAATCCACATTGGCCACAAGACACTAAGACAAGGACTATCCAGAAGTGTCTTTTATTGGAGATTCTACCACGCGAGCAATGGGAATGTCTGGGTCGAAACCTGCTACTGTTTGTGCTACTCGCCAGTCTTTGGTCTCTGCGGCTTCTTGCAGCACCTGCCTTTGTTCTTCAGTCTGTAACTAATGCACTGTTTGTGCTACTCACCAGTCTTTGGTCTCTGCGGCTTCTTGCATCCCCTGCCCTTGTTCTTTAGTCTGTAACTAATTCACTGTTTGTGCATTCGCCAGTCTTTGGTCTCTGCGGCTTCTTGCAGCCCCTGCCCTTGTTCTTTAGTCTGTAACTAATGCACTGTTTGTGCACTTGCCAGTCTTTGGTCTCTGCAGCTTCTTGCATCCCCTGCCCTTGTTCTTTAGTCTGTAACTAATTCACTGTTTGTGCACTCGCCAGTCTTTGGTCTCTGCGGCTTCTTGCAGCCCCTGCCCTTGTTCTTTAGTCTGTAACTAATGCACTGTTTGTGCACTTGCCAGTCTTTGGTCTCTGCGCTTCTTGCAGCCCCTGCCCTTGTTCTTTAGTCTGTAACTAATGCACTGTTTGTGCACTCGCCAGTCTTTAGTCTATGCGGCTTCTTGCTCTTGTTCTTTAGTCTGTAACTAATTCCCTGTTTGTGCTCTTGCCAGTCTTTGGTCTCTGCGGCTTCTTGCAGCCCCTGCCCTTGTTCTTTAGTCTGTATCTAATGCACTGTTTGTGCACTTGCCAGTCTTTGGTCTCTGCGCTTCTTGCAGCCCCTGCCCTTGTTCTTTAGTCTGTAACTAATGCACTGTTTGTGCACTCGCCAGTCTTTGGTCTCTGCGGCTTCTTGCAGCCCCTGCCCTTGTTCTTTAGTCTGTAACACTGGTGATACTTGCTCCTGCAAAAATAAAAAAAAATGTGCATGATTGATTGAGCGATATTCCATGTTGAAGTGCTGATAAACTACCCATCAACTAACTCATTTCCTTTCCTGCCATGTAAGCGATGACACTTTTGTAAAATCTTGATGGTACTTGTCTGTTTGCACCACATAAAACATTGGGCTTAGTATGGCAGTCTTTCCCAGATGTTTGCTGCCATCATTTTCAAGGCGATTATTGCTCCCCTGTACTCCGTGAACTTGTTTAGTAGTCCAGTATTGATTTTTAAAATACTTTAAAAAAAAAATTAAACTAATTACCAATGAATAAAGTGTTTTTTAACGACACTAATTACCAGTGTATATATTTTTTTTTTTTAAAAAAAAGAAAATAATTACCAATGAATTAAGGTTTAAAAAATTAGAAAATAATTATCAATGGATTATGGTTTTAAAAAAAAGAAAATAATTACCAATGAATTTAGGTTTAAAAAATAAGAAAATAATTACCAATGAATTATGGTTTTATAAAATTTGAAAATAATTACCAATGAATTTAGGTTTAAAAAATAAGAAAATAATTACCAATGAATTATGGTTTATAAAATAGAAAATAATTACCAATGAATTAATGTTTAAAAAAAAGAAAAAAAATTACCAATGAATTAATGTTTACAAAATTAGAAATTAATTACCAATGAATTATGATTTTTAAAAAAAAGAAAAATAATTACAAATGAATTTAGGTTCATTAAAAAAAAAATTTACCAATGCATTATTATTTTGTAAAAAACGAACACAATTTTCTTAATAAAAAAAAAGAATAATTGAAACTTCATCCTTGAAAATGTTCATGCTATTGCATGAAAACTTTTGTAAAAGAAAGAATAACTTGCGTTTTGACACATCCAACCTTTAACACTTCAAGTAGTGCATGAATCTTGATGTTGTTTCTAAACTCGATTTCTGTAAGCAGAGTAGGACATATTCAAACAGACCCGTAACCTAGTCTAATTATATTTTAAAAATGATACAATCTTTACCCGAAAAAGTTCTTACTTGCAATTCACAGTATCGTAATCCCATTCATTCATATAGTCTTGACCAGTGGTCAGCAAACTCATTAATCACACGAGCCAAAAATCAGCAACAGGATGATTATATATATATATATATATATAAACAATCTCCAACCAAGGGAGCAGGAAGAGAGCTGTCAATTTCTTCGCAAACAGGAGCCCAAGTCTTACAAGTTCAGATATAGCTAAAGAGATTTTTTTTTTTAAAGGTGGTATTAAAGACTTTGTTTAAATTGATGAAGTGGGCAATGAAGTTACGTGGCGGGACATGGGTGTACGGCACCATCCTTTGACGATCAACATCAACTCAGTTTATACTGACCGTGAAAGCCGTCAGTCATCTGAGGAGATCGCCTTCTATACTAGGGATATCCGAGATCTGCGGTCCGAGCATCTTTTGATAGTGGACGTGGTCATCGCGTGCTGCATGATCCTGCCGAGCACAGACAGTGATTTTTTCTTAAGACTTTCACATGAACCATGAACTGTCGAAGACTTTGCAACGTCGTGACCTGAAAGTGTCAAGTTCATTTTTTGCAATTGCTGCTCATTTGACACTGTCGTTTTTGAAAGCAATGATTCTTTGGCTTAGCCACACCACGATCGAGACATGAGGCAAACCCTGTTTCTGTCATTTCACAGTGCACATGTATCACCCCCTTGGACCAATATTAGAACATAATCTGTGGGGTTAATCATGTTAAAGAACTTTTAGATAAAAACGCCCGAGCAAATATATCACTATTATCTTGAGGTTGTGGTCCTTTATCTAAGCCATTTCGTATTTGGTTCCCCCTTAGGGTTGCACGTTAACGTAATGAGTAAATCAGGACAACCATGGTGTTGGACATACGTCATGGCATCCTGAGACAGCTCGTTCGTGTCATGGGGGCCCGCCAGTCAAACTGAATGGCAAATATCACCACCTGGCCAAAATCTAAAACTTGCCTAAATCTTTCTCCCATTTTCTTGTTGAAAATTCAGGTTAAGTCAGTCAACTTTAAAAAAAAAAAAAGCTTTCTGATCAAAATCCATACATAGAGGACTTAAAAACAGCGATGGAAGACGTAACGGCAGAAGGTTAATGCTGTGGGAAAACAAACCTGCAGCTGGACATAGGGGTTGAAGCCATGGCCAACAACAAGTGAGGTGGGTTCGGTTATCGTTGGGCGGGAGTTGGAAAAGCGAGGCAGGATTTGACAATGCAACTACACCCATTGGAACTCATTGTGTCTACGACGCATCCCAAGGACCCTTTCATGGTCTACCCTGGATGCAGCTACACCTATTGAAACTCATTGTGTCTACGACGCATCCCAAGGACCCTTTCATGGTCTACCGTGGAGACTTCAGTATCCCTCGGCGTGATCCGAATTCCCAAGCCATTCTTAAGAAAATTTCTGCTTCACACTTCTACTCTTACCGAATCATGAAACGACAGGACCAATCAAACTACACCCTACTAAATGTGCAATCCCCCAAACATCATAACAAAGAACGGTTGTTCAGCTGTTACATAACATAAGCTCTGACCTTCGGTTTAAAAATACTTTACTATGCTTAATTGATTGCTTGGTACCAAGCAAGCTTAAAAATCGCCTGTAAATAATTATTGACGTAAATATTCCTATACTTATACCGGAAAGCAAACGGTTTTAAGAGCATGTGTCAGGCTTCAGCGACTAAGATCTCGGTTATTTTTAAAAATACATGTCCCAGGCTCCTTCACGACAATGATTACAGGCTCCTTCACGACAATGATTACAGGCTCCTTCACGACAATGATTACAGGCTCCTTCACGACAATGATTACAGGCTCCTTCACGACAATGATTACACCTTCTAAGTTATTTGGCCTGTCACCTAAAAAAATAATTTAAGAACACCCGCCCCCCCCCCTCCCTTAATCTGCCCCTCAATGTTTTAACTGGTAATCGTTAAAAAAATAGGTAACACGTTCATTTTATAACAGCACAATTACTTCATATGATTACAGGCTCCTTCACGACAATGATTACACCTTCTAAGTTATTTGGCCTGTTACCTAAAAAAATAATTTAAGAACACCCGCTCCCCCCCCTCCCTTAATCTGCCCCTCAATGTTTTAACTGGTAATCGTTAAAAAAATAGGTAACACGTTCATTTTATAACAGCACAATTACTTCATGAACGTAACTTATTGACGTCTTCCTTCACCACAAGCTGCTAACAGATGAAGTGGGCGGGTTCATTTGATAACACGGGGGAGGTCCCGTCTCTGTAGAGTTTACTATTTGTTTGGGGAATAGGGGAGAACATTGGGGATTCTACGCGTGAACACACGTGTGTTGTCTCCGAATCGTGTCAATGGGGATGGAAAATATATCAATAGATATTTGGTGCAATAGTAATGAACGCTAGCACCTATGCTTAGAACAGATTTTTTGTGTGTCCTAGTTAGTGAAGTCGGAGGTATTGAGTACTTCAGTGGCTTCATGTTTGTGGGGACTACTTTCAAGTCGTGTGTCGTCAACAATAGTCCCCGGAGTCTAGTGTTTTGAGAGAGATGTGGACTTCCAAGTTGTTGCTACATTCTGTAATTGTGTTCAGTATTCAGGTGGTCAATATATTAATGGTAGTCTTTGAAATAGGACATAACCCTTGAACTTCAATTATTGGGGGGGGGGGGGGGGGGGGTTGGATTAAATTTTTACTTCGACAGATTTAGACTTAATTTTTTTTCCCCACGGGGGAATCAATTAAATATTAATGTAATCACAATAACTTATATAAGAAGAAATAGCTTTATTTAATTTAAGGACTTACTATTTCTAAAGTGCATGATTTTTTTTATAACAAATAATGTTTTATAATTTCATTTGTATATTTTTTGGTGTGACGCGTGTAGGTAGTGGTGTCGGTGCTGGACATTTCTAGAGACGCTCCTCAAGGTGGGTCATGAAAATAATAATCAATGATTTTTTGTTTTTGTTTTTTGTAATGTTATTATTTTTCATACTTTTCTATGTTCCCTGTTACAAAAAATAAAAAAAATAAAAAAATAATAAAACGACAGCTGGTAACGTATCTTTAGTGATAAAACTGTTTAACGTAGGCTATACTCGGTATTCTTTCATAAATTTTCGTCATTTTTTAAAATGTTGCTTGATGATATGACGGTCATTTACAACGTGAATTATCATTGACTGCATCTACCATTAAGAAAGCAGATTAAACTAACAACCACTAATGATAAAAAAAAACATACGTTTGGAGGAACTGTCATTGTTTCTCCACGTTTTCAGAATGTCTTTACTCAGAACACTCAGATTCTGATCAACTTGGCTCTCCCTTGTGTTTGAATCGAAGATATTAACTTTTGAATAATGATTGGACACTATTCCCTAAACATTTATCTTCTTTATTAAATGTTGATTCGATTCTGAGCATTGTCTCGTCCTTTATTTAAAAGTAATGGCTACTTAATGTAGAGTTCGTGTTTTTATGCAGTTTTAGACTTTCTTTTATTACATTAAAGGCTTGGAGTTCAAGATAACTATTTCAAAGGGCACCGTCTGTAGCAGGTTGCAGTGTTATGTCAACACACTTCCTGAAGACGCGAGATCCATCCTCGCCATCAAAATATATGACGTCACCGACGGCAATGTCCTATTGGCCTCGTTGTCTGGTGCCTCCCTTGATGCAGGAGAACCGGCGACCTCTCCACCAATGAAACTGGAGCTTGCTGTAACACAGAGATCCAATTGTGACCGAGGGTCGTTCAAGTGCCAGCTGAATTATGTGAAAAGTGATGGAGAAATAGATGTGGAAGTGGTATTCATCAAAGCAGACAGTTCATCAGGTGATCCCATGAAGGGCTGGACTTTGGCTTTCCGTGGGACGGCAACTATAAACAAGTCAGTTCACTATGCTTACACAAACAAACAGGCACGCGACCTGTCCGTTGAGCCAGGCTGTAAACAAGTGAGAATTCAAAGACTCAAACTTTTAAAATTATTCTAAATTAGTAAACAATCCCCCAGAACGTTGTTTAAATTTAATCAAGGATCTCAGAGTATGAAACCAAATTCAGACTGTATGTTGTGGGGTTTTTGTTTCGCTTATTATATATATATTTTTTTATCTCTCTTTTCTATTCCCCAGGTCACGTCAGCGCTACCTTGTACCAACCATTACAGAAATGATCAAGTTCTTGATAACTGGGCTAACATCAACGAAGTGGCTTTTATTGTTTACAAGAACAACATCGAGGTCAGACGTGTCGTGTTTGACGGAAAAGGCACGACCAACTTGAACTGGTTCAGCAGAGACAGGATCAAAACTTCCAGTTGGACGGATTTAAAAACGGAATCTGCAAACTACTTCAGCATCGCTGGGCTTCTTCACAAACATTTTTCCGGAGTAAACCGTTGGAGTCGGCGATTTTTTATGAATCACGTTTTAAGTTTGTGTACTGGAGACTCGGGCTGGTTCGTAGCTATTGATATAGAAACACGTGCTGGCTGCCCGTGGGAGACCTACCCCGCGTTTCCGGTTTTTAAATACTCCAGAGGTGACCGATATACCAATTGGAGCAATGGAGATTTTGATGTAGCTGACGTCATTGCTGTTTTCGTACGTTAGGAATAAAAACACTTTAAAAATTAAAGGTTGAGCAATTTTTTCAATAATTGCTTTGTTAACTATGCTGTCACTGGTTCTGTTTAACTGTCGCTTTGCATCCATCTCAAATGTCTTTCTTCATCCCTCTCAACTGCATTTTCTTATCCCTCTCAACTATCTTTCTTCATACCTCTCAACTCAACTTTGTATTGTTTTAAAAGGTTCGACTTCAAGATACATATTTCAAAAGACGCTGATGACGATCTTTGCGGTAAGATGAAGTGCTATGTCAAGAAACTGCCAGGATAAATGAGAGCAAGCATTGCCATGAAAATAAATGAGGTCATTGCCGGAAATCTCGTCTTTGCCTCTTATTTGGTGTACCCCATTTGCCCAGGAGACCTGGTGACCTCTTCAGCAATGAAACTTGAGATCAGGCATCCGATTGTGACCACGGTTCATTCAAGTGTCATCTAGAGTATGTGAAGTCTGAAGTTAGTTTCATCAAACCAGAACAACACTGCATTGACACTGGGAAAAGCCGGATATTAGCTTTCCGTCGGACGACGCGTATCAACAAATCTATCTGTGGAGCGTTCACCAACAAGTGTGCACACATTGTGCGATTGAACAACGTTGTAAGCAGGTCAGATGTAAAGGATACGTTTACGGAAATTTAAAAAAGGGGGTGGAAAACAATGCAATAAAGAGCCCAAATTGTAGTGTTACATAGAATGTGCTTAATTAAAGGGCAGATATTTGCTAGAGTAATATCTGAATTAGAGCAATGGAGTACAACACGCTTAGTTGATAGAATCAGGAAATAACATAAAAAACGTATGGAATTTTATAAAATGATTGAGTTTGGCCTTTTTCTGAAACAGCTAATAACACTCAGTCAGTTTACTTTAAAATAACTTCTTTGGAGTGTTGAACCAGGATTCAGCCAGATGTCACAAGAGGAAAAAAACAGAATTTAAAACGATTATAATAATTGATTTTTAAAACTAATCTTTTTTAACAAATTGTCCGTAGAGTATCAGGCTGCTGGTGGTCCAACTGAGACGTTCTTTGATGTTACTCGGGTCACTTCAGCCCTTGCTTGCTGTGTGCACTACAGAAAAACCGAGTCCTAGACAACCAGACAACTGGGCAAACACCAATGATATCACTTTCGTTAGTAATAAGAACACCATTGCAGAGATAATACGTGCTGCGATTAGGGACGTGGTACAACCATCAATAACTGGTTTAGTCAAGACAGAATCAAATCTTCGTCTGGGGCGGATCTGAAAATTGAAAAAAAAAAAAAGCCAACTATTTCAGGGTTGGGGTAGAGATTCAGAATCCTATCATTACGTCACCAGTTGTTTTTAAAGAACTTCTGTTGAACACTTCTGACGAGCAACACGCACCATACTTACAACAATGCAGGTAATTTTTCTAGCTGTATGAAATCTACGTCCATTGAGATAATGTCACATGGGCTCAACTGTATGAAATCTACGTCCATTGAGATAATGTCACATGGGCTCAACTGTATGAAATCTACGTCCATTGAGATAATGTCACATGGGCTCAACTGTATGAAATCTACGTCCATTGAGATAATGTCACATGGGCTCAACTGTATGAAATCTACGTCCATTGAGATAATGTCACATGGGCTCAACTGTATGAAATCTACGTCCATTGAGACAATGTCACGTGGGCTCAACTGTATGAAATCTACGTACATTGAGATAATGTCACATGGGCTCAACTGTATGAAATCTACGTCCATTGAGACAATGTCACATGGGCTCAACTGTGAGAAATCTACGTCCATTGAGACAATGTCACGTGGGCTCAACTGTATGAAATCTACGTACATTGAGATAATGTCACATGGGCTCAACTGTATGAAATCTACGTCCATTGAGACAATGTCACGTGGGCTCAACTGTATGAAATCTACGTCCATTGAGACAATGTCACGTGGGCTCAACCATTCGAAGGAGGCACCAGCACTAGCGTCAACTTTCTTGGGCTCAAAGGGCTCATTCTTAAGCAAAATAAGTATTAATACTTTGGGGGGGGGGCAGGGATGCCTAAATTTAGGTAATATCACGGGCGCAGCCTTTGCTTGCCATGGTCTCGACTGAAAAAATATAATTTTTCAACTAGATTTAGTTTTGAAATGATAACTTGGCAACACAGTAACGGCTCCTTTTGACAACATTCAGGATGTGCTTTGGTGTATGAGGATTTTAAAACTTTTACAGAACTGAATTGCTGCAAGAATTGGTTTTGCACTGGCAAAGATTACGTTATGGCATTCAGCCAAGAAGTGATTCTATCTTAAGTTGACATGGGGAATGATTCACGATGTTTTGTTCTTTAAAACCGGTTGTTGATACCATGACACAAAAATAGTTTTGTAGATTTTACATTCTGATGATTAGCGTTTTTATTTTTCACTGTTGTGGAACACCTAGAGTAGTGAATAGCATATTTAGTCTTCATAAATTACCTACATTCTCCAGCTTGTTGCGATTTTTTTTTAATGCTGTTGAGGATAATATTATAGAGACTGTGAATAAATGAAATAATGAGGACATGATATGCTAAAGCCTGATTAGCGACGAAAGACAAAGAAAAAGAGTTTAAGGCTTCAAGCCTTCATAGGCAAACGTAACAATATATAAAAACACGAAAATAAAATCAGGATTTGGCTTAAAAATATAATAGAAAGGCTTGACACAAAAGCATTCCGAAATTTTTTTTTACTTAAGGTAATTTATTTTTGATGAATAATGTAAACTATTTGACATAACCGAGCGGCTCCGAACAAAACCGAGTGAAAACGGGTTCATGCGGGTAGTGCGTTTAAAAAATAATTGTTCCGTTCTTTTATTTAACAAATAAAAAGTTTCTTCCGTATTTCGTTTATTGGGGACGTAGACAATTTATACAGATACAAGTTAAATAATAAACAAATATTACGAAATAACTTCACGTGTTTGAGGTTCTCAAAATGTTGTCTATTATTTTGTTATTATAATAGTAAATGACAAACATATATTTAAAAAAAAAAGGTTTCAGTATACAGATTATATAGAAATATTTATTTTAAAAAAAATCATTCTTAAACGAATCTTCCACAAGTCATTCCTACAAATTATCTAAGGACTAGAAGAGAAAAGGTTCATTTAAAATAAATGGATTATAGCCCTTTTCTTATAATAAATATTTAACGGAATAAAATGTATTATTTTTTTTAATTATCTTATAAAGATCTAGTCATGAAGACACTTTTACATTTGTGTTTAAAGCTATGTCTTAAAATAGAATTTGTGAGTGTTCAATGGGAAAATTTAAAAAAGACAAAAGCCTAACCCAGTATCTTCAAAAAGGCTGCGATAAATTTTAACTAGATTCAAAAGACTCAAGAAATAAGTATAGATCTAAGTAAAAACAATACAATTGAACTTTTATGAAAGACCAATTTAATAACATTCTTTTAAAACCATTTTCAGCACAACAAAGGAAAAAACTGTTTGAATTTAAATAAAATGTTACGAAATATCAAAATAATACCTGTTTAATTAGAACAAAGGAATAAATGGAAGTGGATGGGGCAGAAGTCTATTGAAAAGTCAAATATGATATGATATTGCAACAATGCCAAATTATAAATTCGGATTATAAGGTAATGGAGTCAATTTATATATGTATCATTAAATAAAGTATATATTTACTTTACTTGAAGCGATTCCTTTCATCCTTTAATTCTTTTTTTTTTAAATTTAAGTTTTAACCTTAAGCTTCAATTTAAAACTCGGGCAAATGATGAGTTGAACGTGATTTTAAGTGAAATATTATTACTAGTGACACTCACACAAGGAGAACAACTCAAGAAACTTAAATAAATTTATTAAAAACCACCATACTACAAGACAATAGGTCACACACAAACAAGACTCCCCGCCCCCTAATGACGTGGGTTGGAGGGTCACCTCTATTTTCAGCCCTCCTAACCCTCCTTCAAAATCCGTGTCGAAAGGTGCTGCCCAACATGCTCAAGGTTCAAGCGGCACGTAGACGAAGCTGGGGCATCTCTTCGGGAATGAAACGAGTGAACTGTGCAGGCTCAACTGTGTCGTACTTTGCATTTAGTGTCCCATTACCCTGCAGCTCTATTAGCTCCATCTGCAAATGTACAGATGCCGTTTCAACGTCTATAACAAAGGGGCAAAGAAACAGCTCAAAATTACATTTCTTGGCTTCAAAGTCACTAAAGCGCCATGCGAACTCGCCGCGAAGTAAGCGAAGTTTTTCAGCAAAATGGGCCTTGGGAAACACCATGGCGTTGACTTGGATCTAATTTTATGCCTGTCAAGACCTCGCGGGCCGGATATAATTTACGGCGGGCCGGATGTGGCCGGCGGGCCTTTAGTTTAACACATGTGCCCTAAAACATTAGCCAATCAAACCATCTTGATCACTCTGAAGTGTGATGACCGACTACGCGTAGCAAATACCGACGACTTGCAAAGAAAAAAAAATCCTTTAATGAATTCAGAATGACTTCCTTTGAGAACGCCCACTGTCTCTACTTTGTACTACAGACGTAAGAACGCCCACTGTCCCTACTTTGTACTACAGACGCAAGAACGCCGACTGTCTCTACTTTGTACTACAGACGTAAGAACGCCGACTGTCCCTACTTTGTACTACAGACGTAAGAACGCCGACTGTCCCTACTTTTTACTACAGACGTAAGAACGCCCACTGTCCCTACTTTGTACTACAGACGTAAGAACGCCCACTATCCCTACTTTGTACTACAGACGTAAGAACGCCCACTGTCCCTACTTTGTACTACAGACGTAAGAACGCCCACTGTCCCTACTTTGTACTACAGACGTAAGAACACCCACTGTCCCTACTTTGTACTACAGACGTAAGAACGCCCACTGTCCCTACTTTGTACTACAGACGTAAGAACGCCCACTATCCCTACTTTGTACTACAGACGTAAGAACGCCGACTGTCCCTACTTTGTACTACAGACGTAAGAACGCCCACTGTCCCTACTTTGTACTACAGACGTAAGAACGCCGACTGTCCCTACTTTGTACTACAGACGTAAGAACGCCCAC